TTAAAATAACACTTTTCATTACTCGTGCAGCTTAATCAAATATTATATGTCATTTTAAACGACCCATTGGTATTAACATGGTAACATCAGTGTATTTTTAAAAATCAGACAGCGACGTTCTCTCAGAAGTTGGTTGTTCTGTAGACGTTTATCTGTTGATGACCTTTTGACCTCCTGAATTCTGCAATGAGATTTTCTGGTCGATTCAGCCGAGACGGCCCGAGTGGAGTTTCATGTAAATGTTTCGTACGGAAAAAAAATCGCTGCCGGCGATGGGGATTTAATTCTGACGAAACGTGAAAACATTACCAAGTATATTTCCTTGCTAGCCTAGCTAGCCTAGGCCCTGGCCTATACTGGCTCGATTACAAAAAAAATAATAAAATCGTTCGCAAATAATAGGCCTCATAGGCTACGACCCTACCCTACCTAGCAACAACGCTAAACCTAGGCCTAGCCCGAAAAAAGTACACCGGTCCCGCCGTCAGGCAGTATCATGAGCATCTGGCCTTGAAGGAAAAAAATCGGTTACCCTTTCTCGGCGCTTCATCCTAGGCTATTCTTGGCGTGTCGCATGTGCTCGATCACAGAGAAATAAAAAATGTCGAGCGCACAAACTTTTGTGATGACGTCGTGCCAAAGTAAATAAACTCCGGAGCACGCAATTGGTCAAATAGCCTAGGCAACAAACCTCTCATAAATATTCATTTTGAAGTCTTGATGGTTACCGTACGTCTTTCAGCTGGCTGCAGCTTTGTTTTGATTTCTACGATCGATAGCGACAAATAAACAGTGGCAAAAATGCTCCCATTTTGTAATAAATTGCACTATTTTGGAAACGGGGGATCGTTCTCTGGCTAAGGGGGTTCGCTGGCAAAAGGGGGGTTCGCTGAAAAAGGGGGGTTCGCCCGAACCCCTAAAAACCCCCCTGGCTACGGGCCTGCAAGGTCAAAGCAGAGCTTGATGGCATCCAGATCTCGTGTTGGACAAAATGATAATGATTGTTCAGAATGGATATTTGGTCTTTAGTGAGTTGAACATTTGACAGGTTAGCAATGTTGTTGGAGAGACAGCGTTTCGGTTGTACAATCCACGACGGAAAACAGTTAAACATGGCGTTTGAGTCATTGCCTATGTGTCGCAGTAGTGGATCATTGCTAATCAGGTTTTTGAGTTTTCTGAGTTTAATTGTGAGGCAGTCGTGAAATTCCTGGATGTAAGATTGGTCGAGAAAGTTTGATATTAATTTTGTTTACCTTGTGTGGCGGTTACTGATCGAGAGAGTCGTTCAGTTGAAGCGGCGATTTCCTTAAAGAGTTGTTCTTGTTTTGCGTAAGCATCGTTGTTTGCTGTATCCCTTAGTTTTTTAGAGGCTTCTAAACAAATATTGTCACTTTTATCATGATTAGATGACGTGTACATTAGAGGATTCTTTAGACGTAGTCCATTTGGTATTAAGTCTAGTTTCTTGCATTGTGTCAGGAAGATGATATCTGATCTACAATGTGCTAGTCTACGATGTAAGTTTTCTAGAAGTCTTCTTTCGTGCAATGCGTCCGCGTCAAGCCGGGGTCCGAAAAATAGAGTAGACATCAATGTGATTGCGAGCAGGTATGTTCCCAGTAAATTAAATAATAATAGAGACATTGATAAAATCAAATGAAACGGTTGACGTATTGGAGGAACATAAGTATTTTATTGCACACGAATATTTCGTCCTGTCCTCAGAACTTTCTCAACGTGAATGAACAAAAACATTACAAAGTAGATAAATCATGAGCTATAGAATAACAGTAAATAACAATGAAATAACAATAAGACAATGCTGGGCGTAATTAGTTATTCGTGAAAGTATAGCCACTAGCAAAGCCTAGATCTCTGTTAAGTCCCTTAGTATGTGATTTAATACGGAGTATCC